ACTGGTGATAAACGACATTGCAAATTTTGCAATAAATCTTATTCAATAGATATGGGTCTCTCTACTATTAAAGCCCATTTTAAGCATAACCATGTTGAGAGGTTCAATGAACTTATGGTAGCCATTAAAGTCAATGTTGAACTTTACAGTTCTGATAAAATCTTACAAATTAACCAGCATCTTATAAAATGGATTATCACAGACCAGTAGGCTTTTTCTTTTGTCAAAAATAAGGATTTTTGACAATTCATCAACAAATTAATCCTATGATATTACCTTCTATCAAAACAATTCATTTCGCAAAGCATTTTAAAACTATATCATGACAAGCAAAATGAACTTCGCAATTTTTTAACTCAAGTCAACAAAAATTTGTGATAACAACAGATGTTTGGACCTCCTGCACCAACCTTGGATTTCTTGTTATAACTCTTCATTGGATCGATGAATTCTGGACTATGAAAAGAGTTTTATTGGACATGATACTGCTTCATAAATGACATATCGGTAATTATATAACTGAAAAAGTCTTGGGTGCAATTTCATTTTACAATATTGGTGCCTGAATTGTTTTTGCAACCACTGACAATGCTTCTAGTATAGAAGTATTTGGTTGTATATTTTACAAAAAGCTTCACTCTGATTATGGTAACAATGACTTTGAATATATTCGCTGTGCGGCACATGTGATGAACCTTGCAGTTTCTGAGGGTATGAAAGTTGGAATAAATTCAATCACGAAGTTGCGAAACTTCGTAAGTTATATACATAAATCCCAACCATTGTTTAAGGATCTTAAAAGGGTTTTTGAAGCAAACGGAAGGCCTTTTCTCATACCTGACTTGGACATATTGATGCGATAGAACAGTATATATAATATGATTAAGAAGATGTTTAGAATCTATCAAATAACAGATAACCTTGTTAAAGAAAACTCTGCTTTAAGGACCAGTATTCCAATAAAGCCAAATGATATGAAATTGAGGTTAGTATTTAGTTTATAAGTTATATTTTAAAATACAATATTAATAAAATTAATTTACTTATCTGCTATCTTTAGACGATCGTTATATTACTTGAGCCTATAGCAAGAGCAACACCAATTTTATCATTGTCAACTCGTCCAACTATGGAGAATTTGCACATGATATTTCTTATGATCTTAAATATTTTACACAGCAGATTAGATAGTGAATTCAGATAAATAATCAAATTATCCAACAAATGTATAAAAAACTTTATGATTATTGGACTATTCTTCAAACTTGTTATAGTATATTAGTTGCATTAGACCCAGCTATGAAATTATCCTCATTTGACAGTGAAATGACAATTCTTGTGCATGAGCAACTCTATAATATTTATGCACAATATAAGGAATCTTACTCATTTATTACTGAAGATACTCGTAATGTTTTAAGAAACATTATAATGAAAGTTTGAAAACTACTTTCAACATTTTTGAAGAGTACCTTACATCTCTGAGGAAAATTGTAATTCCTTGGACTTCTGGAAAACATGATCTGCTGATATATGTTATTCTGGGCTCTCAAAAATAGCAAGAGACTATTTAATTGTGCAAGCAACAAGTGTACTAAGCAAAAAAAATGTTTTTGATGGCAAAGAATACAATCAACCCAATATGTAATAGGTTGTCTGAAGAAAATACTTCCGCAAGCCTCTGCTTAAAGATCTGGTATGATGCAGGTATTATTGACTATAATGAAGGTTAATAATTAGATATAATTAATTGCGTAAATTAATAAATAAATAGCAATAAATGAAGGGAACTGTTATTACCACCCCCATTTTTGTTAATGTCACCCTTCTGGCCTCCGACCCGCCTAGCAGGTCATATGATCTACAGCAAGAATAGAGATCACGTGACTTTTCGGAACTTGCCATTTCACCAAAACTCAATATTACGCAGTTACGTGACCTGTACAACAGCAACAGCCAATTAAATTGAATTCTACAACCCGCAAAAATCATGTGTTAACCCTGCCAATCAAATTTTAGCATAGCACAATAGACTAAATTTTACAAGAGGCTTTTTTTATATTAGAATACAAAAGTACAAAAGCCTCGTTCTTATATAATTGCTCTTATGCAGTACAGGTATATATATACTATATACATACGTACAGTATTATTAATTTGCACATAAAAATGGGTGATCACTGCAAGAGAAATCTATAGATATCGAGCTCTAATTACCATTAACGTTAATAATTGTAGCTGTATATCGTATGACTTAGAGTACTATTTAAGAATTTAACACTTTACAGGTAAAAATTAAGGATGTTATCTTCAACTCCAATGCAATTTCGAGGTAAAATTTTATACATTAAATGATATATTGAACAAAATTAATAATATAAATTAACACAAAGTCAGTTATTAATTTGTTTTCTCAGCCGGGCTTTTGATTTTGAGTGCTCTAAGAAAAAGTAATCCTTTTAATGAATTTAATTTTCATCAATGAACAAATGAAAAATCATTACATTAAACCATATTTTAAGCTAACTCATATTACAAAAAATTATTCACAAAACGAATTCATGCATTGGGACATGTTCTGCAGTTGTGGCCAGTTTGCTGGCATAAACCACATTGTTTTGATCATTTTTTGACAAGCTCAAATGCAGAAGGATCTCTTTTTGTCGATTTTTGACTTTTATTTTTTGCTCCAGCTGGTCTTTCTCATGGTTTACTGATAACTGTGTTTTTTGGAACAACAGGAGGGCTTTGCAGCAACTCTTTTAACTGTGCATAAGCGATAGCTTGTTGGTGTGGTGACCAGAATTGGTATATTTGTTCAAGTGATTAAAGAAGAGGCTGAAGATCCGTAGAATTATTATTTATAGGATAAGTAGGTTCAAGGAATTCAAGGTGACGACCTTGGATCTACCAGTGCTTGTAGAAATTGATTTGCTGCAATGCTTGGCCGGTCATCAGATGTTCACTAATGATATGCGAACATGGAACTCCTATTGTAGATCTAAGAAATCCTGTACAAGGGCTTAGAGGTGAGTCTACAGTTGTGTTTAATACTTTTATCCATTCATTATAGGCTTTTTTTAGGGCAAAAACTGATATATGACATAGGAGAGGTTCAAACAAATCAATCCTATACTTGTGTTGTACCCTTATACACTCTGAAGAGACCTTAACATGGATTTCTTTGGCTTGAGCTTCGACCTGTAATATGATTTTGTGGCATACTGACTCAAGATTGCCTGTGGATGTTTGTAGGCATCTAGTAATTTTTTGAAGATAAACCGAAAGTTTTTTAATATTAATAATGTAGAGTACAAAAAAAAAAATAAAATAAAATAAAAAAGTAAAAAAAAAAAAAAATAGAACTCTAAATTAAAATATAATTATTCATTTCGGTTTATATTCAAAAACAATTACTCACCTTTTGAGGGTGGCATGCATACCTTCAACTCGCGATGTTACCTTGTTACCAAGGTGTAAATGACGATCAGCCCAAGCAGAAATGAAGCTTTCCTTATGGAGAATCCAGGTCTCTTGGAGGTACTGTAAAATAATATGTTTACTTTCATAGTATTGCAAAAATTTGTTCCATTGAGTTACGTATTCTTGTTCAGTAGTAGATGCTGTAACCTCCTGCCATCTTGTCATGAATTCAACCCAATGTTGTTCCATGGTGAAATAATTTTTACATCTAACCAATATATTTTTATTTATATGCCAAATACACAAAATATGATGAGCACTAGGAAAAATTTTGCCAACAGCTTTCATTAATGCCAATTCCCTGTCAGTAATAATGACACTTGGGTGAGATGATTCATTAAAAATTTTAGAAATACAATTCAAAGCCCATTCATAGTCATTTTCGGTCTCATCTCTCAAAAAAACAAAGCAGGAAAAAAATGTTGTATTGAAACTAGATACACCAACAACGTTTAACAGAGGCATTCTGTACCTATTTGTTTTATAGGTGCAGTCCATTATTAATATAGTGGGGTAAGCGCGGGTTAAAGCAATAGATATTCTATATGCAAAAAAAAGGCGTGAGACATTGTTTTGACTATCACATTGATAGTCAAATTCAAAATCAGATCCTTGCAGTTCATCAATAAGGGCTTGAATAGGTGTTCGCCCATTTAGTCTTTCCTGATGTATAGAGTATGTAGGATTATTAATTGTTCTAGATATGGCCATTGAAGAAGAATCATTTTGCTAAATTGTGGCCAAAATTTGGCGAAGACGAGATCCAACAGCAGTCATTTGTTTAACTTGTTCTCTTTGTTTAGCATTTAACCGCTGAGTGATCGGGTGACTAGACATATCTGCAGATGAATTATAGTTGTGTTCAGAATTTTCAACCTCAAGAAACCAACTAAAATAACGTTTTTCTCCAGAGAGTTCGAATTGACACCCTATAAGCCTTGATGCTGTTTATCTATGACATGAGTTTTTTGTCAAATTCAATCTGTTCCTATAATAACCACTTCTGTCACATCCTAATGTCATATTTTTGATTTCACCATTTAGACCAAATTATGATCTCTTGATGGTTATGACATAACCTAGACTTTTAGCAAAAGTTCGGATATAGGTAAGAAGTTCCTCACAGCTTTGGAATTCACCAGGTGAAGATGAAAGCATATTTAATATTATTAACTAGAATAAATGAAAATATATGAATATAGTTTTCATTTTTTCCTTTTTTTTTCAAAAAAAAAAAAGTATGCTCTACTTAATTCATATTTGAAAAGGTACGTACAATATTATAATAGATTACACAGGTTCGTTGTTTAGGATTCAAATCTCAATTTATAAAGCTAAAACAGGCAATTAACATCTATTGAAATTTGTGTATAGTGGTATAAGTACAGTATAACTTTTGCTTTTGTTCTTTTTTTTTTTTGTAAAAAGTATAAAAAGAGTATAAGGCACATACGTATTATAATGGACAATACAGTCTCATTGTTCAGGGTTTAAATATTAGCTTATAAAGTTAAAACTAGGATCAAGTTTATTGAAATTTGTGTATAGGATATAAGTATAACTTTCGCTTTTGCCCTTTTGACATTTTCTTTGTGAAAAAAGAAAAACACACTAACATCTTATTTTTTATTCTATTTATACTTTATTGATGTCATTCATAGATCTTTCAACTCAGCTATCTTTGCAATTGTTGATCACAAAATAGTCAAGGTCATAAAGTAAATTTTAATAAGAATTGGTTGCAGATCCTTCTTAATAGTAGAAATATGTAAGTTTCGAATAGTATTTGGGGCCATTCTTTTTTTATAAAGCAAAAACTGATTGTATATAAAAAAAAAACCAAAAGAGCATTACTATTTAGAAGGCGCACTTATGTAATTTGAATTTATGACCTTGATTATGAACTAACAATAATGCTAATACCCTGAATGCCACCTATGAACATGCTAAAGCCTTTGAAAATTCCTTTAAACAAAATCTGCTATACTATAACCCTTACCTAACGACTTCCTTACTTCCGTCTCCCTATCTGACCCTGCTGTTTCAACTTCACCATCCCCCAATTCAGCCTCTGTCAAACCTCCAGTACCTACTCCTCTAACTATTTCTTCATTGACATTGCATTCCACAAAAACTGAAGACATTCTGGTAAGGTTGACGGAAGCCATTACCATCATGATGACTAAGTTCCAAGACACTAAGGAACCACCTCATCACAATTTCAACAACTGGAATAATAATACCTCTTGGTATCCATGTGGTCATTGTGGATAAGTAGGTCATAATACCAGGACCTGTCCTAATCTCTTGCCTAGTAATAATGGCAGAACCCTAGCTACTGGGAGCAATGCTATTCCCCTTGATAAATCCCCTACTGCTCGAACTACACCCCCAATCAATAATAATTCTGCCACTCCTAATCAGGTGAGAGGATCTGAAGCCCAAACATTTTTGAATCTCCACGTTGAAGAGGAGGATCCCCTGTTTCTCCTGGCTGAAGAATCCTTGAAGTTTGTTTGTTCTACTCATGCCAAGAGATGACGCATTGATGATATGACTCTTGAAGAACTTCTTGAAGAAGAACAGGTTGAAGACCAAGAGGAACTCTCAGAAGTTGAAAGGAAGGCCAAGCGAAAAGTCATCGCGGCATCTAAACCTAAGAAGGATATTAAGTCGGTCTCTATCAAGAAGAAGGCCAAATATAATCTACCCCAAATTTCTGCTTTAATCCCCCAATACTCTATCATTTCCGATATCCGTGACAAATCCACCAACATTACGTTCAGTCAAGTCTTGCAAGTGGTTCCTTCTTATCAAGTTGACTTAGCTAAAAGTCTCTACAAGACCAATGCCCTAAGATAAGAGTCCGTGCCTTGGTTAATTTACAACCCACCCCTAAATCGACCGCCTTATATTGTGACGCCCGTATTCAGAATAAGGTCATCCTTCTTATAGTCGATAGCGGTTCCTCCAGAAGCATAGTGTCATCCTATCTACTTGGTGAATTAGGCATCAAGGTAGAGAGACCTTCCACTGTTAACATGGTCAACGTTCACAGTCATAGTAAAAGAGCCCTGGGAGAAATCTCTGGCTTTCCTTTTTCTGTCAGAGAAGTTGTTGTTTCTGTCAACATGGTCATTACAAACATTGCGTCTTATCAAGCTATCATCAGCAATGACTGGTTGTCTAAAGTAAGTACTAATATCAATTATACCAGCTCTGAAATAACATTTCATTGAAATGATCAGGAGGTCGTTTTTCCCGTTGAATTTTGAAAGCTTCAACACACTCTGATTCAAGATGCCGCCCCCCCTAAAACTACCAAAGTCCAAAAGGTCGACAATGATGAATTTGAAGAGTCTGAGATGGAAGAGAAATCTGAGAGTGAGTTTGAAGAGGAGGAGGAACTGGAGGATCATCTATTTGGATTTTCTGAAGACAAGAGGACCATTTTTCAATATTCTTGCAATGGCGATAAAGTACCAACTGAAATTGTTGATGACTCCGATGTTGAGTCTGCATACGATGTTAGACCATAAGAACGCGGAGCGGACGATGCATAGTGGAATATAGATAGTGATGATGACTACAAACTGGGAGTTGATGAAAGCCCCTTGATTTTGATGCTAATGATCCTGAACCAAATCACGAGTTCTACTTCGACGAGGTGGACGAGTCTCCTCAAGAATTGAAGCTGGATATAGGAGACTTTTGAGATGACGATCACGACAGAATGGAAGAGTTGCTTCTTGACAATAACGACCTTTTTGCTTGGGAGCCCCATAATTTAGGACGTAATAGCCTCGTTACCCATACCATCAACACCGGCGATGCTCCACCTATAGGACAGCGATACTACCGCACTTCTCCTAAGGAGTGGAACTTCTTGGAAGAAGAAATTAACCGCATGCTTAAAGATAACATCATTTAACCCTTACATAGTCCTTGGACTTCTCCCATTGTACTCGTTAAGCAGAAAGACAAGACTAGGTTTTGTATTGACTACCAGCATTTGAACACCATCACCAAGAAGGACAGCTACCCTCTTCCAAGAATCAACGACCTGCTGGATACCCTTTGCCATTTCTCTTTCTACACTTCACTCAATCTTGCTAGTGGATATTGGCAGATCGAGATGAGCCCTGCTGACAAGGAAAAGACTGCCTTCACCTCTCAATTCGGCATCTTCGAATTCAATATCATGCTGTTTGGACTTACCAATGCCTTCGCGACATTCCAATGGATCATGGATCGAATCTTTCATGGCATTATTGGGAAGTTCGTTGTCATCTATTTAGACGACATCAATATCTTTTTGTCCAATTCAATGACCACCTCCAACACCTTACCAAAGTGTTTAATCAGCTTCAGAAAGTGGGACTAAAATTGAACCCCAAAAAGTATCACTTCACCAAGAATAAACTTAAATTTCTTGGCTATGTCGTCAATAGAAAAGGAATTTCCACTGATTCTCAGAAAGTGGAAACTGTCAAGAACTTCCCTGTCCCTACTAAACTCCGTCAGCTCTGCGGATTTATCAGCTTGGCTTCTTACTACCATTGATTCATCAAAGATTTCTCAAAAATCGCCGCTCCTCATAATGCCTTATTAAAAAAAGACGCCAAGTATGTCTGGACCCCGAACATTATGTCGCTTTTGATACCCTTAAAAACAAACTTATTACTGCCCCCATCTTGGCCTATCCCGATTTTTCAAGGGATTTTCTACTTTTTACCGACGCATCCGGAATGGTGTTGGGCGCAGTCTTGTCACAAAAAGACTCGCAGGGGAGAGAACGGGTTATTCACTACACAAGTAGAACCATGATCAAGTCAGAAAGGAATTACTTGGTGACTAAGCAAGAATGTTTGGATGTCATCTGGTCTGTTTCATATTTTCGACAATATCTCCACGAATCATATTTCACTCTAATTACAGATCATTCGGCCCTCACCTATCTATTGCGCCATCGGCTACCCAGAGAATGTCTTGCTCGTTGGATCCTAGCCCTTCAAGAATACGAGTTCGTGATAATTCATCATTCGGGAAAGCAACACTTAAATGCCGACAGTCTTTCTCGACTTGTACACTTCTTCAAAGGTCAGAATAGGAAGAAAAACTGTCTCTGTTATCAATATCGTCGTCAAGAGCATTATGCTGCTGAATGTTTCTCCGTCTATGTAATAAAAACCAACCAACATTTACCTGCTAACCCGACGAATCCTTCCAATTTTGACTAGCTATTTTCACCCACCTCATCCTTTTTATAATAACTAATTTATTATTGACAATTTTTGTAAAACTCTTTGAATCTGTTCTTAAAATCTTCACAAAGATAGACCCTACACAATATCAAAACTTTATCAATTATCTTAATAACCCTAGTTACAAAACTAATCTACAGCAAACTTGTCTTAAGCAACAAACCCTACACTTCGTCATTATTTGCAATAAATTGTATAAACGGCATTAACAACCTCCTCATCACTTGCAAAGGGTATTGTTACCCCATGAAGTAAAGCCCGTTCTTTTTAGCATGCATTCAGATCCTCTATCAGGACATTTTAATATTTTATCCACCCTACAACGCATCGCCGCCTGTTATTTCTGTCCCCAAATGGGAGAAGACATCAAACAATACGTTAAGTCATGCAATGCTTGTCAACGTTGAGGATAGCTCAGAATACATGAACCCTTGTACCTGATCAAAATCGGCCAACCTTTTGACTGGGTGGTATTGACATCGTCGGTTCTCTTATCCCTACCAAATCTGGGAATCGATTCATTGTTGTTGCCACGAAATATCTTATTAGATAGTGGAAAGCCCATGCCATTCCAGACGCTTCAGCTTTATTAGTGGCCAGATTTCTTATCGAAGACGTCATATGTCATCACGGGAGCCCTCGTGAACTATTGTCAGACCAGAGGAAGCATTTTGATAATCAACTTGTTGGAGCTATCTGCTCCTATCTACAAATCGATTATTGGTTCTCTTCGAGTTACCATCTCCAAACCAACAGACTAGTTGAATAGTTCAACTATACCCTTTGCAAAGTCCTGTTCAAATGCACCATTCAATTTTCTGGAGAATGGGATCAGTATATCGCCCTGGCCTTATTTGCTTATCGAACCACCAAACATTCAACCACCCGATACGA